TTTAGAAACTTTATAGCAAATAAACAACATGTTATATCTTGTAGTAATAGTTACTGAAGGTATTAAATGTGTGCTACCTGAGCGAATAATCACAATCACAGAAGACGACCAGTTTTCAAAGTTGTATGAAATATTTACTTGTGAACAATTTAATAATCAAAGTGTTGAAGTTTATGTTCACCAAAATAAGGTTGACAAATGGGTAGAAGTAAGTGACGGGTTAAATGGTGACCTTAAAATTTATGGAGGTTTTAGGATATAATCACGTAAAATTTTCACTTATAAAATCGCTAAGAAACATAGAACCACCTAGTTTTTCTGATGCATTTGACATCATGATGAGAAATGCACGACAACCAAAACTTCCACAACTTTATACTGAACATACTCGACGTGATTTATTATACAATGAAATCATTGAACTTCTTCAGAATAAAAAAGCTGGTTGGAGAGGAGGTATTCATCAAACTTTAGGGAAGGAATTTGTAAAGCATGTTGCAAATGTTCTTTAGTATATTGATCCACATTTAAAATTATTACAATCTCGTTCATGCCACATGCCTGCGCTTTTTAAAGAATTGGCAACATATGCAAGTGATAATACAGATAGAAATACATACAACATTGCATATCATACTAGTTATCACAAAAAAGAATCTATTTCGCATCAAAAGCTGGACCTTTTAATCAAATCATTAGAACTCTCTATAGGGCAACCTTGGGTGAATGATAGTGAATGGGATAATATTATTCCTGATATAATTGCCTTAGTAGATATGATGCGAAAATATAGTGAACATCTTGTAAAAAGTAATACATTAATGGCTGCGATTCATCATAATGATGATTCAGCACGCAATTCAGCAAATAATTCCCATATGTTTCGTGTTTTTGGTTGTAAAGAAGATGATCTTAATGATCAATATCGAGAGTTAAATGATGCTATTTTACAGCATGGTTTCTATTAATATATGGATGTTTATTCTTATCTTCCTATAGATATTATGAAATGTTATCGATTTCTTAAAAATCTTCAATTGACTTGTTCAATTGGAATTTATAGGTAATGTAAACTATAATTATTAATGGATGCTTGTTTATTAATTAATACTAAGAGAAAAGTAATTTTTTTTTTTTAGATATGCACAAGGAAACTACCTTGGTACAATAACTTATATATGGAAAATACCAGAATCTGAAATAATTGATGAATTTCAAGATGAGATGCAAAAAGTTCATATGTTGGCTAAAATTCATGAAGGATTGCCTAAGTACTTCACACGGCAGATGAGAAAGAATGTTCTTGGCAAGGTATTGTTAAATTATCTTAATATTTATTTATATTCAAAATATTTTTATTGTTTAAACATTAATTTTATTTGCATAGTATTCTTTGATAAAAAATGTTACTCCTGCTGTGTTGCGAATGCTATATTTTGATCTTACTGGCAATGCAGCTGTTACATGCATCAAATACTATTAGCCGTAAAATTGAAGAAATATTACGCTTAATATTAGCACTTGAAGATCTATCGATAATATTTGACTTGCGAAATAATAATGGATTCAAGGGAAATAAATTTGATATATTTTGGAATGAATTAGACATGTATTTTAATGAGGTATATAATTTTTTGGATTGATAATAATATATTGTAAAAGTGAAATTATAAACTTCAATTATTTACATAGGAAACTCCAGCTGTAGATGACCGACGCCACGATACAACCATGCATATGCCTTTAGCAATTTCAATACGTGATCTTTGTGATATAATTTTGGCAAAACTGCATATTAAGAATGGCGAACCATTGCCAGCAGAAATTTATATACCATCATATGAATGGATCCGATTACAGTTTTAGCCAACAAATTCTACAACAACAAAGGCTATACAATATACAGGAAGATATCAAGTTAAATTTAAAGTGCAAGGTAGACTTCTTCGCAAGAAAAGTGTGGATTCTCATTATTGTGCAGCACTTTTTCGCTATTTACGCGAATTTTTGATTCAATATCGGCAATGGGCTTGTTTTATATCAGCTGATGATAAGCACAAAGTCCCCATTGGCGAGAGTGTATCTGTTTCTACTGGAATGCGTAACCGTCGATCATTATCTACTCAAAATAATGATCTGAATGCATCCGATCATGACTTTACCAAACTTTCTCTTACACCTTCGGTTATTTTTTTTGTTTCTATTCCAAGTGATATATCAGGTGGATTTTATAATGGACAAGTCTTTGTATCCTTTAAAGACACTGTTTTTGAACCAAGCAGTGCTATTCGGCATGCAACTGAATTTCAAGATGCTATTCACAAAATATACACACCCTAAACTTCGCCACCAATTTTATGCCTTTACACTAATGGTGGACCAGACCATAGGTGTACTTATGGTTCAGTTCAAATTGCTTTAATCAGTCTCTTTTTAAGTGGAAATTATGATATGTTAATTGCAGTACACACAGCTCCACATCACAGCTGGACAAATCCAGCAGAAAGAATAATGAGCATTTTAAATTTAGGACTTCAAAATGTGGCAATTATGCGAAACACAATGAGTGATGAATCTGAAGCACTTTTTGACAAAGCTGACACACTTGATGAAATTCGTGATAAAGCAAATAAAAATTCTAATTTAGAAATGGAGTTATGAGATTGCATTAAAGATGTTCAAAGCTTATTACATAGTCGTTCTGAAAGATTGGTTTTAAAAGATCAATATTTCAAATGTTATAATGCTGCAAGTGAATACGATATCAATGGCTTGTTTCAGGTATTAAGAAAACTTAGATTTTATTTAGTCAAATTAACTTACACATAATTCATTCTAATATTCATACAGTCTATATCAAAAGTTGATCCTTTATTGACCCATAATGACACCACACAAGCTCAATTAACGCGCCATAATGAATTGGTTAGCTTTATGAAAACTCATTGTCATGAACGTGCTTATTCTTTTCAGGTACAATATATGATAATTTTTCACAAACCATATACGATGTATCTGAGTAGCTAATTCACTTCTTATTTTATAGATTAAAAAGTGTCAGGATGTATCATGTAATATTTGCACACCAATACGCCTTCCACAAACTGTCTTTGACAGTTTACATTTTTTACCTGATCCAGTTCCAGCACTAGGTACTGTATATTTACAATTATGAATTGTCTGCATTGATAATTTTTATCTACAACTGATTATAAAAATATTATAGACAATCCGGATCATTATACTTCATTTCAAGCCGTCTATGGGAAACAAACTAGTGAAGAATTCCGCCCATCACTGCAACTTAATCAAGCCAATGCTGAGCCAGTACCAAAAAGTGTATTTGCTAGTGGAAAAATTCGTGATTATATCATGTGTTGTGATTGTGGAAAACGGCGTTGTGTCTATAGTGATAAAGCTTTGAGTCAAGATGAAATACAGGATTTTAAGTAATCTCTGGACACGTATGATTATTCTTGTAGTGCACCTCTCTTTCCTGACGATCATTATTTAGCAGAATTATTATTTGTCCGTGTAAAAATATCTTGTGATACTCCTATGGAAATCCTTTACTATTCTAGCCGAAAATCAGGAAACTCCAATATATGCTACCATTGTGATACAGATAGTGATTTCGTTGATCCTCCTGATAGTATAAGAACCAAATATAAGATAATATATCCATTATGCCAAAGGTGCCAGGACAAAGGCAAAGAATTTAACGCTCGTATGGAAGTTAAGGTGAACGGCAGTAATTCGAAGTGAAGAAAAACAAGGTAGATTTAATCTTTCTCTAATAATTAGTATTATGTAATGCTTAATATCGTTTAATAGTTAGTATTAATAATTATATTTGAAAGAATATTAGTTTTATAAATAATAATAAAATTTTATAAGTAAATGCATTGTAATAAAAATTGACATGTAACAATATAAATTATTGTTTTTATTTGAATTTATATATCATAGTAAATAAATAAATTCATTTTACATATTTTTCTTATTTGTATTTTTTTTATCCCCTCCCTCTACATTTGTTCTCATATGTTATGTAAAACGCATAATCAAATTGGTCAGGCTTTAATTCTAATTTAACTAATTTAGTAGTATTAAGGCTTTAATTTAAAAATTAAGCAGTATCAAGAAAAATTCTTGCGAATTTTTCTTAATACTGCTTATATTCGTTAATTCATGGAATTAGCCAAAATTAAGATTTTTATAAAGATTTGCATATTTTAACAAGAATTATATTTCACAAGCTTAAATTATATGTGTTATATAATCAGATGATCTAAATCTATCAAAAAATAAAAAAAAATTTTTTTAATGTTTATTCAAAAATAACAATAGCAACTACTTTCTTTTTCAATTACTTTTCAATTACTTATCAATCAGATTTTTGTTAGATGACTTAGAAAAGTTTATAGGCATATATAGCAGGTTTTTTTTAATCAGTAAGTAAGAAAACAAATATTAATAATTTATATTAATAAGAAAAATCTTTTTTCATTTATTTTTAACCTTAGTTTCTTCTTTTTTTAGTAAAAATATATACAAAATAAAAATGTGAGTTATGCTTTAGAGTTTTAAGATGTTTTTTTTTGTTTTTTACTATACTGATTTTATTCTACTTGTTAATTACTTTTTAAAATTGATTTTATTAATTTATTCAATTTAAAACAGAAATAGCAAATAAAACNTTACTTTTTAAAATTGATTTTATTAATTTATTCAATTTAAAACAGAAATAGCAAATAAAACCTTGTTAAGTAAAGTAAAAAGAGCTCAATAATACCTGTAAAGATCATCTTTTGTAAGAATTATAATTTTGTGTCAGAGTTTTATTTAATTAACAAAATCGTTAATATCTTGGCGTACATGCATGCTAAACACATATATTTATATTCATATGAAAGCCCAGAACCTAAACTATCTGAACAAAAAAAGATCATTCAAATTGAATTACTAGATGTGAAGATGTTAACAATCAAAGTCAAAAGTTAAAAATAAATATATTGAACATAATTATTCAGCAACATGTGATTCAATTCATGTGATATTTGGTTTATAGATAGCTCTTGATTACCTCTTTCTAATGAATATAAATTCATTCGTCTAGTACACATACACGTTAAATTATTCAATATTTTGTTATGACAATTATTATTATACAGTATATAATACCTATTTCAAGCCTAAATGTTATATTATCATCAAATTCTGTACTCTCACTATCTGTACTTTCCACACTCGACAAGATGCTTTCGCCCTCAACCTCTGTACTCTCACTATCTGTACTTTCCACATTTAATAAGTCATTTTCGCCCTCAACCTCTTCAAAGGCGTCTTCTAAATGAAAAAAAATTTTAATAACTTTTAATGAGAAAACACACATTATATTCATATAATTATTGTATACAATACCTACTTTAAGCCCAAACACTACCTTATTATCAAAATCTACTATATTTTCACTGTCCGTACTTGCTTTGTTCGCAATCTCTTCAAATTCCTTCTGTAAGGAGTTAACGTCAGCAATCTCCTTCTCTTCTAAAGAATATATTATTAAAAAAGAACGTTTAGGGCTTTTGTTCATTATAAATTTGTGCTATGTGTTGATTTTATTTGGTTTAAATCAGAGAACGACCCTTTTTTGTCATTATAACTGTGACGTGTTATTTTATTTAGTCCAATAAATTAGAGAGAGCACGTGAAAACTTTCTTTAAAAATCATACGTACATATGTCACATGATCGTATGCAATCAAATTTTATATCAAAATTTTAGTCGATCACTGATCAATTTTTGAATTTTAAATTTTCTATTAAAATTGAATGTGGTGACGGTCACCACTGGTGATCTTTAGCAAAACCCTAAAATATATTAATAAAAAAATTTTTTTTAAAAAAAATTACATTTAATTCATATTATGATAATTTGGATTGGCATTATCATAATACATAGAGTCAGTCCAAATTATTATAAATTTTGACCAATATATTTTATTTTAAATTTGGGTTAATTATATAAAAATCATGCAATTTTAAATGCTTATAACTTTTTATATAAATCTTCTTTTAAAAATTTGACTAGTAATTTGATAGAGTTTACTTTAAAAAATAAAGTTACCAGTTTATTTTTTCTTAATTAAAAAAAATATTTTTTTTTTGATTTTTTAATTATAAAAATGGCAAGTTTGATGTTTTTAATTAAAAAAAATATTTTTTTTTGATTTTTTAATTACAAAAATGGCAAGTTTGACGTTTTTAATTAAAAAAATTAATTTTTTTGATTTTTTAATTACAAAAATGGCAAGTTTGACGTTTTTAATTAAAAAAATTAATTTTTTTGATTTTTTAATTACAAAAACGGCAAGTTTGACATTTTTAATTAAAAAAATTAAATTTTTTGATTTTTTAATTACAAAAACGTCAAGTTTGACATTTTTAATTAAAAAAATTAATTCGTGATCCGCCAGTGAACCATAAAATTTGACTATTAAAAGGTGGTGATAAGTTCATATATATTTTTATCAATAATTTAGAATCTGCGATTCCGGAGAAAAAATATGGGATAACTCACCTTCTATTGGTCATAGAGACATAAAATTATTACCATTAGATGCGTTTCAATGAGACGAATCCAATGAACCAAATTTTATTTTCCTACGACCACTAGATGATGAGTTATCTTTAAAATTTTTAAAATACTAAATTTTTTTTTTTCAAATTCAAATTTTCAGCTCTTATGAAAGTGTCTTTTGGTGCTTAAAATTTTTACCGGTCTTTTATTATTAAAACAGCCAAATGGCATATTTTTATGGCTATAATATTAGTTTTTATATTATATTTTAGTAATTTGTACCTTACATTGCCAGAACTGTAGATTTCGCGCTATTAGTAAATATATATATAACTTTTTACCAGAATTTAATAGCCAAGTTTTATGGTTCACTGGCGGATCATGAATTAATTTTTTTGATTTTTTAATTACAAAAACGTCAAGTTTTTTTAAAAAGTTAAAAGATTTTTAAGTGTTACATTTTTATTGTCAAATATAGATTTCTGGCATTATATCAATTTCTAAAGCTTTAAAGAAATTTATTTCAAATATCTAATTATTTTAAATTTAAAAATATAAGAAACAAAAAAAACTCAAAATTAAAAAAATTAAAATAGAATTAAGTAAAATGAAAAATGGAAAATTATTTATTTTATAAAAAATCCAGTAAAGAAATAAAAAGTATATTTTATAAATTTATAAATTTAGAATATTTGAAATGATTTTCTTTTTATTTAAAAAGTTAAATATTATGAAATGGAATTTACAAATTAGGAATAAGGTAATATTAATTCTTTTTTTCTGTTTTATTTTTCTATTTTAAATGTATTATAATAATAAAATTTTATTGATAATTTAAAACCAATTTTTCCTATTGGTTAATAAATAAAATGTAATCACTTAGTAATAAAAAAATTTTCACTTTAGACTTTATAATGGTGAATTACATCTGGATTAATCTTATATAATGAATGGTAATGTTATGAATTTATATAATCTGTATTATATACAATTTAATAATAAAGCTTTTCATAAATTGCAAAGAAAAAAATTCCCTTATATAATAGAGAGTAATTAATAACCCAACTTTCAAAAATTATTTTAGGAATTATACCATTTAAATTACCAATAATATTATTTAATCTAAATATATATATAAAGCTATAAATCAAACAAAAATAATTTTTATAGATAAAATATTATTTAAATAAAATAAATTATATTAATGCCATAGATTTTTCAATACAAGTGTTTTGGACATAATAGAAAAAAAAACGAATTTTTATATCACACAAGAAACTATAGTAGATAAATTTTACCGGAATTAAGTCTTAATTTAAGCTAGTATATCTGTCGAAATTTGATTCGTCAAGGGATCATTTTAGTATCCAATACCGAACTAAAAAATATTTAATAATTATATTTTAAGCACAAATAAATAATTAACTTTTAAACATCATGAACGCTGAAGAACTTGCACAATACCAATATCAGCTTGACCAAGTTAATCTTGCTTTAAAAAGTGAACCTGAAAATTCCGAACTTTTGAAACTTAAAACGGATCTGACAGAATTAATTAATCTTACGAATACCATTATTGATCAAGAGGTAACACTTTCACCTTCTAAAAGGTCAGCTTCTTCGATTTCACCTAGAACAAATTCAACGCCGACTACACCGACTTCATTTTCGATACCAACTTTTACAAAACCACTTCAAGTTGGAGATTCTTGTCTAGCGCGGTGGTCTGGTGATGGACAGTTTTACCAAGCTCAAATAACAGCTATTGGTGGTGGTGATCAAGTTTTTTCAGTTGTTTTTAAAGGTTATAATAATGTTGAACTTGTTGACGTTCAAGATATTAAACCTCTAGAAAAAAATAAAAAGAAAGGTTTGAATGATAAAAAGGATAAAGATAAAAAAAAGAAGAGCGGTGAAGGACAAAAGAAAATTAATGAACAAAACTTGAAACAAAAGTCTTGGCTTGCCTTTGCGAGCGGTTCAGCTATGGCTCCTGGTAGGAAAACAACGAAAACAAAAAGGCTGGTACAGCCGCCGATAAACAAGAAGAGTATCTTTGCTACTCCAGAAAATCCGGAAGGCAAAGGTAAGTTAAATCGAAGTTTTATGAATTACACCAATTTTCTGGTTACTAATGAATAATATCTTTTTTAGTCGGCGTGGTCGGTAGCGGTAAACCAATGACACAATTCCAGCAACGCGGTAAACATATCTTTGACCGTGATTAATTGAAAGGATATGAATATATTTTTTTTTTTAATTTTTTTTTTTTGTTATATATATACTTTTTTATATATCTTTTTTTCTTAAAAAATGGTTCTTTACTAGACCAATGCGAAAACATTATGAAATATATTGAAGTTGGATGGTACTACTATTATAGGGCAGTAAGGACATTTTGTTTGCTCTTTCATTTTCATTCATTTGTTAAGAACATATGATTTATACAAATTTGCATCATTCAATATATTTTACCCATAAGCGAGATAATTGGGAATATGGGAATATTATATGTATACGTATATATATGTATATATATAATAAACAAAATCTAATCTATTGATTGAGTTTTACCAAGGTAATAAAATCAATAAAAAAAATATTGTAATAAATGGCTTTGAAAATATTTATTTTTTTTTTTTTTCAAAAAAAAAAAAAAAAATTTTATAAATTTTATAATAATAATTTAGGCCAAATTTCCAGATTTAAATGATCATCATAAACCCGAGAATCCCTTACAAATTTATCAGTACCAAAAAAAAAAAAAAAAATTATGTAAATGAATAGTTTAGAAGATCAAATTAGTTTTAAATAGCATCATTTATAAGCGTTAAACATTTTTTATTATACGCGTTGAATGTGCCTTCCCAACATTCTCAACCCGCTCCTCAAAATCCTTTTTTCTGGACCTCCAGCATCACAGGTTTGAAATTTTTACGACTTTATATGATAATACAAATTTTATAATACTTCAAAAAGAATTTATTAAACAATTAACGGTAGTAACCATAAAAATATATTTTATATATTTCATTTAGAAAATAATAAGGGTTAGGGCAATTTCTCTACATATTTATAAATTAATTATAATTTGACAATTTGTCTCATCATCCAGACTTTATTTTTTTCGGATTCCTAATAGTAATTTAAATACATTTCGCAATTGTACCTTAAGATCAAAGTATCACGTGACAATAATAGTATTTATTTTCTCGTCGACGCTTTTTTTCTTCATTCGTCTTTTGTGAGCTAAATAGCTTAATCCATATATTAAATTTCGGAAAACTTAGTACAGCGGAAGGGTAGCTCAAAAGAATTTGAACAGCCATAAATAAACAAATTGCTGCAAAATATCATTGGTGAAACGAGCTTTTAAGGTTTGTGTAACGACTCTAGTTTATTGTAATTTAATTGCTTTCATGATGTAGTCTGTCGGTCTCTCAGATATCTCTTGTAAGCACTATATACACGCGCTATCTCATATGAAGTCATCCAACCACTTGGCCAAACAGTTAACAGCTAATGAAATTATTAATAAAGATTAGTATATATGTTAGATACATAAAAATGAAGAACATACATTTTGATATAAATGTTTTCTCTGCGTCTGTTCAGAATATCTTTCTGACTTTTCTTCCGCTTCCCTAAATATTGTAACAAGCAATTAATATGATTCAAAGCAAACTTAATAATTTAAATTAACATACCATAAATCATTACTCATTACAACGATCGACATCTCTGCTTGAACAATTTTCCACAACAAAGACCTCGTTGTTTCATCCCATCTAAATTTTTTACCATTAGGATCTTGATATTGTTCCGTTTCGCCATCAATATCCATCATTGATTCACTATTAGAAGTTGCTGATGTAGAATCTAATAAGGCACGCGTGGCTTGTCGTTCATTATATTCCTGAATAAGTAGTGGCATTACTTCTTCAACAGCAGCTTTTAAACGTTCTATCAAGTCCGCCTTAGTTTTATGTAATTCAGATATTGTTTTAGGGTATAAAGTCCTTTGACAAAGACGCTGTTAAAATAGTTAATGATATGAAATTTACAGCCATGATAAGTTTAAAAATTAAATATCAAATGTTATGCCTACCGTTACTGTGAATTTATTATATGGTAAAATATTTGTCAGTATTTTGAAAAGATTTTCATTAAATTGCGACCGTTCATATGCAGCTGTTAAAATTTCCATCAATGGAGGCTTAAGATTTGGTGGAAATCTGGACTTAATCTCAAACGTTTCTATGATAATAAATAGATCATATTTATTTGTGTTTTCTCTATGAAAACTTAATAAAATGCAAACTAAATAATTATTACCACTATCCACTTTAACTTTGAAAGCATCCACGAGTACCTGTATTTCTGGACGAATAGGTTCCTAAAATAATAAAAATTTCAAAGTCAGAAACAATAAATATTTATAAAATTTTACGTCGAACTTACTATCGGATAAATTTTTTTCTTTTTTCCTGGAGTTTTATTTGGATCGGGTATAACTTTATTGTTAAATGTTGGCGTTTTAGGTGCTTCAGTAGGATTTGTGGTGAGAAGCCTATCAGGTGAATTTGGTGGGAAAGCATTATTAAATGCTGTTGCGAAATCTTGTGGTGTAGGGGTGACATTGATAACAGGAGGTTGGAATAAATTTGTATTTATGAAATGTGGTAAAGTTGTTTGTGCCGAATCTTGTAGCTTAGTTTCAACAGCTAACTTAGACCTCTTATATGCCCTTTTAGGTTTGTTGATTTTATCACTGCCCTCTTCTCCTTCTTTAGGTTTCACGGTACGTTTCTTACGAGGCTGTGGTGGTTTATCTTTAGCATCACCAGATTTTGGTTTACGTTTAGTCCTTTTCTTTCCTGTTTCAGTTCTAAAGCAAAAAAAAAAGTATTTGGATTTATTTAAAGTTCAATCACAAAGAACTTTTTTACTTACTCGTCCACCATTCCTTGTAACGTCAAAGGACCTTTCCATACAAAAAATCCTTCAACTGTTGGTCGAATATTTCCATAATCTCGTTGAAATGGAGCCAAATCGCTATCATCTATAAATGGATCACTAACATCATAATTTTGTTCCTTTTTGCTAACTTTTTCTTTTCTCTTTTTCGGATTCTTCTCGGGTTTCTCCTTAGCTTCTTTAGCTTTCTAAATTTTTTTTTAAAAAAAAATCTTTTACTAGGAATTTTTTTTTTTTTAAAAAAAAAAGAAAAAGTATTTACCTCTTCTTGAGCTTCTTGAGCATACTTTTCCGCATTTTCTAATAATCGTTTGAAAAATTCATTACTTTCTTCATGAACAGGTGGAGGCAAAGGATCACCAGAACTACTTGGTCTGGGTGAAGAAAAATCATTTGGTGTATCATTATCTGACCAATCTGAATGAGGAGTTTCTGAGCCTACAGATTCAGAACCTGATAGATAACGTGGTGGTGTTTTTATCACAGTAAAACCAGCTGCCTCACATAAGTCAGGAAAATATACGACGTTATTTTCCTTATCTTTTAGTTGAATATCTAAATGTATGTCAGGTCTTTTTGGTGTTTGTTGAGGACTTTCTGAAGTAAAACCAAGTTTAACTGCTCCAGCAATTGGATCTGGTTGTTCCTCCATTATTGAACTACCAGGAATAAAGAGATAAGCAATTTTTTATTGAACGTCAGACTTTCCCACGTGTACATATGTACATATTTGTGTCCTTTTTTATTCGGCGAATTAAAATTAGATTTGGAAAATTCGGAAATGATGGAGATGATAATGTCAAATACTGCGTGAAAAACTAGGATATTACGCGTATAAACTTATGATTATATCATCGTTCAACCTTGCAACATAAAATCAATTTTCTTAAAGCTTTATCTTCCCTAGTATGTAATATTTTATCCCAATCCCTTTCTTGTAAAATTTTCATTAAAAAATCCAATATGGAATAAATTTTAAAAGAGATAAATCGAGCCTTTGACTAGTAAAAAAGCCTTTATTTCATAGCCACTTTGCTTGCAGTAGGTTTTTTTACCGAAGAAGTTTATTAACCTTAAAAAAATCAAACAAATAAAGAAATATAGGGGAAGAGAAAATTTTCATGATTTTGGGAAACTCTAACACGTATGATCTGCATTATTTGGTTTCATTCATGTGATTTTGTATAATTTTGTTATGCGTATTTTATTACAATATTTTGTTTTATTAAACATTTCACATTCTTGTAGTGTTTCGAGTCGCGCATTATAGCTAGTCCTTTCCTTCCCTTTCCACCAGAGAAATGCCATCTTAGGGTAAATAAAAATAAAATTTTGTTTTATAAACGGAAACTTATTAAGTCCGAAATGCTGGTTAAGGTTTTGTTGTGTATCATCACGTGCCGGACGGACACAGACGCAAATGTATCGTTCTTATACCGTTATACGTGTACGACATACTATCTTATACGACCTATATTATGTGACATATACGTCGTATAAGAACATAGCACCTGATCGTATAAGAACGATACTTTGGAAGATTATTTGTTCTTTGTTTTTCTATTAGTTCTGCACTTGTTGTGGTTCTTTTTAGAATACTCTGTATTCTCTAAAGTGACTTACGGCATTAATTAATAAAATTCAAGCTCAAGCTATGTTTGCCTATAAGAACGATACATTTGTGACACAGACTACTAAATGAATTTATTGAAAGAAAATTTGCATATTTTTAAAAAAAGCAAAAAGACAAAGAAATTTAATACCACATCACTAGATAAATAAAAAGTGCATAAGTTTTTTTTATTAAAATTTTTATATAAAAAATAATACAAATAAATAAAAAAAGCTATAAGTTTACAGCCTAACCTCGATATATTGATATTCGACATATACAGTTCATGAAAAAAATAATCAGAATTTAATCAGAATTACAAAAAGTGTAAAGAATAAAAAACTAGTGATTAGAATTTCTTCAAATTTTGCAAATTTGTTGTCAAATATATAAACCTTATGTATACTAAATCTCAACCTTCTATCTTACTTGGTTATCTCTCAATTGATTTTTTTAATTTGATAAAAAAAAATTGTCAAAAATTTAAACTGTAAAAAATATATAAATTTCATAAAGCATTCAAAATTGCAGTTTATTAAAAACTTGAATAATTGTGATTGAGTTTATGCCATGTTAATTTTATTAAAAAAAAATTTCACTTTATTATTCATTAGTTGTTGAAAAAATTGATTCATCATGATGATTGTAATCTGATCTTTACTTTAATTTTTATTAAAAGAACTAAAATTCAAAATTAAACATAAATTTAACCACATTAAAATATTTGGATTAATAATTTTTATTTGTATATTTCGAAAATTATTAATCTAAACATTAAATATACTTTAATTTCTGAGCACAATATTAAAATCTTTATGAAATTTTCATTTCTTAAATTTTTAAATGATTTTTTTTTAAATTGAAAAATTAATTGAGAGACAACTAAGTAAGACAAAAGGCTGAGACTTAATATATACAATGTTTACATATTTAACAACTAATTTGCAAAATTTGAAGAAATTTTAATAACTAGTTTTTTATTTTTTGCTCCTTTTGTAATTTTGATTACTTTTTTCGTGAACTGTAAATATTGGTATAACTTTGATATAATGATATTTTCTAAAAATTTCATATATAACTGTATAAATTTATAACTCTATTTAAGTTAGGTAAAAATTCAGATATAAGTGATTTTGGATTTATTAAACAACTTTATTTAGATACTCAGAAGTTTACTAATACTAAAGTGTTAAGATGTTAAAATAACACTTTTCTGAAACTTCTATATGAATTTTTTTTTAAGAAAATATTAAACACATATAAAATTTGTTTTCTAAAGTAAAAATCATTAAAATAATATATTTTTAAAAAATTAGAAGAGAGTAAAAAAAAATTAAAAAAATGGTTAATACAATATATGGGGACCCTCATAGCAAAAGCCAGGGCTCAGACCGATCACGTGATTTTTGGATTTTTTGATGATCATATGCTTATAGGTCTAACCATTTGGAAAATTGGTTTTTCCATTTATAATATATTAATAAAAAAGGCGTAAATTCTTGCAATTTTTATTTTTAAAAAATAACGCATTTTTTTAATTTTATTTCTAATAAATTATATGGAATACAGAATTAACTTTAATAATAATAATGCAAAATATTGCAAATAAAAATATTTTATCTGCTTTAGCAGAACTGAATGACATTTTTTTTATTGAAAATAATTCAAGTTTAAATGAAAAAAATATATCAGACAATGAAGTTATTTCTTTTATTAGTTACCAAATTAGTTTAAGTTTATGTTGTATTACTCGTATATATATTAATGTGAATTTTATTTTAATAAACTAATAAATGTGCTGCAGTGACAAAAAAAAAAAAATAAAACAAAAAAAAATTCATTGAAATTGGACTTTTAGATGGTGAGATGATTTCAAAAAAAGCTTCTTAATAAACAAATTATATATTATTTACTATAAAAGATATATTATTACCATAAAAAGTATATTGTGATACCTGATTGCAGGACCTGACCCCCACTGGCCTACTTACCTACTAAATCACATAATTTCTGGCACACCCCATTATAAGGAGTAAAAATTCACTTTTAATGAATTTTACCATGATATTATATAACTTAAAAAATCGTTTAATTTGAAAAGATTATGTAATATATATAAAAATTAAGGTAAAATATATTAGTGAATTTTGCCACAATATAAATTTAAGGTGAAATTTACCCTAATAAATTTTTTTAAGTTAACTGAAGGTTAATTAATATTAAATTAATCCATAAAAAAATATTTCACAATAGTTTTTTTAGAAAATTTAAAAGTTTACACAGAATATTTAAACTAAGGTTGCTTGTCTAAACCTCTTCAAAATCCTACGATTAGTTTCGTCAAAATTTTACTATAGATTTATTATAGTTTCGGCAGAGTTTCGGCAGTTTCGGCATTTATAATAAGTTTCGGCAGTTTCGCATTTCTCCAAAGTTTCGCAAATTTTTTAATATAACTTTAATATAGTTTCGGCAGAATTTCACTTTTCGGCGAAACGCCATCTTGCCTAAACCCCTAGGTTTAGGCAAGCAACCTTAATTTAAANAGTAGAAATATTTCGACTTGGTCGAAATTACATTATAGTCATGTGATTTTTATAATTATAATTTAATATAAAATTTTAAACATGAATAACTCTGTCAATATTAATGCTACAGATATGAAATATATATCATTGGAATCCTCTCGATGAGCTGAATCCAACCGCGTAAAGATTATAAAAATTGAATTACTGGATGCGAAGTTCATTAACTTTGAATTTTAATATTATTGTTTACTATAAAATCATATGACTATGATGTAATTTCGACCATTTCGACTTTTGGAAAGGCTCAAGTCAAAATCATTTTGACCTATACTTGTAGCCGAAACCTTTTCACGTGATTTTTAGCCACGTCTTTAAATCAAAATTAAGTTAAAAAATGATAAAAATTAATCTCTACATCTAGCCGAAACTATAATATAAAGTCTTTGAAGTTTCGGATGGATTTCTGAATAGTTTTTAATAATTTATTATAATTAAATTACTGAAAGTCTGAAACCCTGTCCAGCTTCATAGAGGTTTCGGCTACATGTATATTTTGACTATTTCGACCATTTTAGAGGTTAAAATTAACCAATTTCGGTTTCATGTATAATTTAAACATGGATCATGTAACATTAATGTCACACCCTTTTATTTTTTTTATATAATATATGTATTTTTGACTGTTTTGCAAGTTTACTTAAAGCATTAAAGGAGTTTTGAATGCCATTTTAACTTATATATGAAAAACTGTTTTTATCGAATTTTTTTTAAAAGTGATCAGCAAAATCAATTATTTATAGATAAAGTTAAAACTAATATTTAAAAGCACCTTTAATGCTTTAGGTAAACTTGTAGAGTAGGTAAAAATCCATTTACTAATTTTGAAGTTTATACTATTAGTCAAAATGGCAATAACTATATAATCTAGATTCAAACACTTCATATTTAAATAGAAATTGCATTTTTTTTAATACTTTAATAAAAAATGTTGTAAAAATATTTTTTTAAAATATTATATAAAAAAGCATTTTACTATATTTTTTCAATATTTTAAATATTGCAAAAACATTTTTAAAAATATTATATAAAAAAAATATTTTATTATTTTTTTAATACTTTAATAAAAATATTAACTAAAATTAGTAATAAACTAATAATATAAGTAAAATCTCTAGCATTTGTATAATATTCTGAAAATTTACTATTCTAACTGAAAAAATTCCAGAATTATAAAATCCAAATTCTAAAAGTTTACCAAAAAGTTCAAATTAAATGATATTATTATATCTAATACTACTAATCAATTATACAATAAATTTCTTATTAAATAAAGATTGAATATTTGTATAATATCTGATTTTCTGATAAATTTCATTTTTTTTTTGATTCAAATTCGTTAAATTTATGCTAAAATTTAATAAATAAACTTACACTAAAATGCTAAACTAAAAATATATTAATTTTAATAATTTTAATTTTAAACAACTTGTTATAGTTTTGAAAAAAAAATAGATGAACTAATAAAAGAACTGATGAAAAAAAAACTAGTAAAAAAAAAAGAATTAAAGGTAAATTAGAAGAAGCTGCATTAAGTAAAAAACCTGATAATATTATTTCTAAAAAAAAGGTTTTTAAAGAGTAAGATTAGAATAATAAATCAAAAAGAAAGTTTGTTTGGTTATATTTTAAAAAGTTTACAGATAATAAAAATATAATTTGAGTGAAATGTAAATATTGCAGGTAAATTAAATTTATTAATTTTTACAATTATCTATAAAAATACTAATTATATGAATTTTTAATAATTTAAAATATAAAATGAATAATAAAACAAATGATTTAACAGAAAATTTAAGCTGTCATTTTAAAATTCATATAGATAAAGTTAATCCTTTTGCTAAAAAACAAGCTTAAATGATGATAATGATAATAAAAACAGCTTATAATTATAAAAATTATATTATAAATTATTTGAAATGTATTGCATAATTACTTATATTTTATTTTTTAAACTGTATTTATTTAAAAAAAATTTTCATTTATATGGACAAATTTGATGATAATTTCAGTTAAAATTAATGTTAATTTTAGTTATATTCACAATCATTCATATAATATATTATTAGTTATTTTATTTAAGGATCATTTTAACGCTTACCAGAGGTGAAATTCACCGGAGGTGAATTTCACCATATCACGTAATATTTATTATTATATTAAAATTCATCGCATATTTGTATCCAATTTTTTGTGTTTGAATAAACATGTAAAAAAAAGTTTTTTCTATTGACTATTTGAACATAAATTTTTAAAGTTTTATTGACAAAAAGTTTCTTTTTAAATTAACATAACTTCAATTAAACTATTACACCCATTCACTAATCATTTAATCCAGATTTTTTATTAATTTAAAACCTATAGTAATGCATAATATATAATTCTTTATAATAATGAAAAATGAAATGAAAGTAAAATAGGTTGATAAAAACAGAAATGGGATGATGTAAAACAAAATGAAATAATACAAAGTGAATTGAGATAATGAAAAATAAAGTGGAATGTTGCAAAACGATATGGAGTGATGAAAAACGATATAAAGCGATATAGTCATATAAAGTGATGAAAAATGATATGGAGCAATATGGAGTGATGAAAAATAATATGGAACGATATGGAGTGATGAAAAGCGATATGGAGCAATATGGAGTGATGAAAACCAATATAAAGCAATATGGAGTGATGAAAACTGATATGAAGCAATATGGAGTGATGAAAAATGATATGGAAATGAAAGGGACAATGATAAATGAAAGGATAATTAAAAACAAAGTGGAAGCAAAGGGAATGGTAGAAAAATAAAAATACTAGCAATAAAAGTAAGTCTTACTTTAACTTCTTGAAGTTATTTGAAATTATTGTTTTCTGAAAAACAAGTTAACAAGTTAGCATAAGAGAAAAAGAACATTAAACTAGCGAAGTAATAAGAAAATAAAAAAATCTTACCTTAAGAAGTCCCAGTAAAAGCTGGTCATTTTGAAAATAATATTACAAAAAAGCAAAAAACAAAATATGCGTTACGCATTTGTGTAATATGAAATTACTTGGTGAATTTCACCGAGATAAATTTAAAATTTTAATAATTTTAATGCATTGCAGATCAAGGTGAAATTCACTGAGGTGAATGTAAAATTAATCCTTTATTTAAAATCATAATTTTTTAAATTTACTATATTTACAATAATATTAAAATACTTTTAATATCAAATTTTATACAATATATTTATAGGAAAATAAAATTAAAAATAACTAATTAAAAATATTAATTTTTAACTTCATATAAAATTAGTTATAATAAGTAATATAGTAAATATAAAATTTAATAAAAATAAATCTGATTAAAAACAAATTTTTTATTTATTTTATTATTTATTTTATTATTAATTATTTATTTAATTGCAATGTTTAATGAAAGTACTATATTTTATTGTCTAGTATAAACTTTCAGCATTATATTTAATTTATTTTTATACAAATTTTAAATAAAATAAAAAAATAAAGAAAATAACATTTATTAATAAAAATTTTTTATAATATATTTTATTATTTTTATTTAATTTATTTTGAATTTATAAGTTCTATTTAACAAATAAAAAAAAAAAAATAAAATATATGGATGAATATACTTTAATTAAAATGTTAATTATTTGCCAAAATTAATGTTAATTCTAGAAAAATAATCAACATTCTGATTAAAAGAAAAATTTTTAAAATATAATTAATTAATCAGTTTAAACCAGTTGAATATAACTGAATATTCAGTTTAAACTAATTTAAATATAACTGATTTACATTATTATTCAATTATATTATTTCAAATTGGCTTAAAACTGATTAGTAAAAATCAAACTGTTTTTAACATTTAGTAATACTAATACCAATACCAACTCATTTAAATCTAAAGTAATGATTACTTGATTGGGAGAATTATTTTATCACATTTGTGCTGTAAATAAATGGATCATATAACAAGTCTGTGAAATAATTATTTTCTCATATATTTATAATATCAAAATATTTTTTATCACTTTTGTCCTTAATTTCATATACTTTAGTTTACATTAATAACATTTTGCAAAAAATACTATATAAGCTATTATGTTTATCACTTTATTCTACTTTAGTTGATATTGAGAATAAGTCTATTAGCAAGCTCAAGGAGACTATAAAAGTGATAAAATAAAAAAAAGAGCTGTCAGCAATAAATAATATTGAAGACTACTGGTTTAAGAAATTACCTAAGAAGAGTATTTATATCAGTCAAACTGTTTTTGCCAACTATTACTTCAAACCATGAACAGGAATTACTTAACCAAGTTGCTCATTACAGGTATTACTAAACAAGTTTATTCATTGGTACAAATAAGTAGTGGAAATAGTAATGTATGGTAATTAAGAATAAATGTATACTTTCATGTATCATTGATTTATACGATCCATTAAGCATTTTGAGATTCAGCCAGAGAGAGGTTGTTTTGCATTTTCTGATCATTTATTACTAAAATCATAATCAAGAGAAAACAACTCCCTGATGCTATTGTATAAATTGCAAAATGAAAAAATTTTTTATTAATACAAATATTGTAAGAAATAAATGATGCAACATGAAATTGCTTGATATATTTCATTTTTGGATTTTACGTTACCCATGACAACAATGGCAAGGATGCCTATATTCCCAAGTAGTTTTATGATAATACTCTATTTCCTAACCCTAACCCTAACCAACCCTAGCCCTAACTCTACCCTACTCCTTAATCATTTCAATCATTTCACTTTTCTTTTACAAATTTTAAATAAAATTAGAATACATAGAATCTATAAGTTATTTAAGTGAAAATCTCTGCAATGAATTTAATAATCAAAAGCAAATCATAGAAAAATAAAACAAATCATACTCCTTTCTACGGGTTCTCATTTCTGCATCTCAGATCAAGCTACTTTGTCTTCATTCTCACCAAGTCTATTGTAAAGCGTAAGTGAAGCTTCAGGCAAATGATCATGAATCTTTTGTAAATCATCTGGCGATTCAAGTTCAGTTGAAGCAGGTGTTTTTGCAGAGCTTTTTACATTTTCATTTTCATTTGCATTAGTTGCAGAACCTTCCTCTATCTGTATATCTGAAATGACAGAATATTATTATTAGGTTTAAATTAAAAAACTTCATACATTCCCTAGATCTTACCATCCGTATTAAAATATATATTTTTTTATTTTGTAAAAGGTTTTTGACGTTCTTTAAGAAAGTGGTGATTTTTTACTTTATTTTTTTTTATTAATATTTATCATTGCAATTAATTTTGGCGTGAAAGGGTTATATTTATAATTAATATCGGAGGTAGATATCATACTCAATAACTATACCTCCGATGTTGTATAGTACTAGTTGACGAAATCTATACAGTATAATTTTTATCGTATAGTATAGTGTAAAAAATCTATACTGTATAGATAAATGCTATACTGTATAAATAAAAAATTATACTGTACTGTACAACATTGGAGGTATATATATATCATACTCAATATCGTTTAACCGTTATGAACGCGAGTACCCGACAATCCCGACAATAAAAATTTCAAGTGTCCACTATATTTCGATGATACTTTTCCGCTTTTCCGCAGTACATACTAGCCCGAAATTTATGCTATGCGCAGTAATACATAACCGCTGGTTTTTACTCGAAAGTTCTGGCATATTTTTTATTACGCAACTTGATTGCATCTCCTGAAATCGACAGATTGTTAATATCGACAGCGCCATTGACGAAGAGAAACTTGAATAATTTAGTAAAAATCACATGAAAATGGAAGATGCACAAAACCTATTTTAGTATTTGTATAAAATTATTGCCGTGATTTCTCGTGATTTCTGTAAAAACTGATACATTTATGTTTTGTGATTATAAATTCCACGATCAAATCACGGAAAAAATTTTTATTGGGTAAAGAAAAATATGGTAAATTTTGATGCCCAAGAGTTTGATAATACTTAGGAGAAGGTGGTTGTAATCATAGCCAATTTTTTCAAGGGGATTGATGCCTTAAGATGTTTACCACCACGAGATAGAAAACCCATCTGATATTAGGAAGTAATTGAATAATAAAAATTTTTGGTTTTGATTTTATCAGAAATTATCCAAGATATAAATTTTCGCCATTGAATTCTACTTGAGTTATATTCATTTTCTTGCAAGTACGACTATGTTATAAAATACTGTCATGATATCAATATTTAAGTGGCCACGAAACCGTTTTAAAAGACAAAAATACAAAGTCCTCATTTTATTTTTTAAAAAAAAATTATTTAAATATAAAGATTATTGACGGAGGCATTTACCGCCGTTTAGATTTTACATTTTTAATATATCAAGAATTTGGATAGAGAACGATTTTCATGTGACACGAACTGGAGACTAACATCAAGTGATAAGAAAAAGTATAAATATTTTTTATAACTTTGATATTTTCAATATCAATAAGAGCGACCATTAGTAGACATGGAATAATTTAAAATACGGATTTATAATAATAAATATATAAATAATATATAATATATAATGTTCTTTATTTAAAATAAACAATATTCTAATATTCTTTTACAATAAATTTTCTCTATGATATTTTTTATTCTTCAAATTCTTCAATAAGATGAATTTTTTAGTCAAATAATTATAACCTAATCTGAGTAGATATTTTTCGCAAGCATCATGTAATTCTTTTTCATATTTATGATTACGTACACTTTGTTGAACCAAGTTCTTTGCACTATTATAGGCTGAAGACCATTTAGAATCAGATTTATATTTAGCAAGAACTATTTCGAAATAAACAATAATCAGCGATGTTATCCAAACGCTGTTTTCAAGGCGTCTTAAACACAATTTCTCAGCATAATTTTTAAGAGAGTCAATATTTTTTTCCGAGAGTTTAATCTTGAATGGCCCAGAGATTAATTCACGACATTTGAAATTACCATTATTTGTTTGAGAATTGATTATTTCATTGAAACACTCATCATCAGCGGTGGATCCAAACATTCCACAAATAGTTTTATTTGTATCATGATCTACCGTAATTTTTTTACTTAGCTCATTATGAACTACTATACCTTGTTGAATCAAATATTCCTCACTAGCAGCGTGCAATAATCCCTTATACCGGTCATTATATTGGAGAAATTCACTTATAACCTATCTGCTTTTTCATAAGCATCTTCCCACTCAATTTTTTGCTCTTCTAAAACCTTTTCTAAATATTTCATAACAAATACGGTTTGCCATACTAATGATGGATATTCTTTAATTCTTCAAATCCACCAACAAAAAAGGTGAGACCTTTAACGGTATCTTCAATTGAATCAGAATCAATTTTGAGATGGTCAGAGATTATTTTATGTATAGATAAAGAACCATCGCTTTCTTGACTTAAGCAAATTTCGGTAGCATCGCTTTCAAGAGCATTTAATTTAAGACATCTAATTATCATTTCACGATCTTCAGCAGAAACTTGAACTGTAATCTTAATAACATGAATAATTTCCATTTGTTTATCTTCATTGGTACAAGTCGTTATGGCGAATTTAGAATTGAAATATTTAACAGTATTAGATGACCATTTAAAATCATGACCGGAACTTGAGTATTCCGACGTTTCACTAAAGTCTTTTGTTTCAACTATTCAAAAACACTATTAAGGGATTTACTTTGATGTTCATTTTCGTTGTAGGAAAAATATATTTCACTTTTGGCAAATTCATCCTTATATGAATTCCATGATACAAGGTCCTAAATAGATATATTAAGTAATCAGTAATTGAATAAATATAATTAATTTTTATGAAAATGTATATCTGATATACAAACCTTTGTAGTTGCTACTTTCCAAACCGATGAATTTGCTTCTTTTTCGGATAAGTAACATTCTTCTTGCTAACTTCAACATTAGCAGTAAAATACAATCCATTAAATGCCTAACAAACGTAAATGTTAAAACCTCAATTCCTCAATTGTATAAAAAAAAAAATCTCAAAAAATAAATTTATATTTACGTCATCAGATTTCTTAAATCGAAATTGAATCAATGATTTGGGATATACTTCAATCAATGTTCTAACCAAAGCATCTATAAATGTTGATTTTGTTCGTCGTCTTCACTAGGTTCAAAAGTGATTGGCAAATAATGTCGCAAGTCCAAAAACGATTGAAATCTTTCCATTTTATTTATACCAAAATCATTTCTTTTATTAGTGATGAACACAAATTGGGGGGATAAAGAGCTATTAAGTGGATTTATACGATGTTTTCTGATACGTTGAACAAAATTTCCTAAATTTGAAAGATCGCTCAAAGAAAGATCAAGTGGTTTCGGGTCATATTCCTAATACAAAGATTTTTCAATTTAATAATCAATATAAATTCAACTCTGGAAAGGCAAGAAAGTGGATAATAGAATTAGGATAATGATTTTACCTCTGTTTTATTATGAATACCATTACCATTAAATGTATATTTAGTCTTTTTTTCCATAGTTATTGGTTTATGATTTTTATGATTCCGTTGATAGTTTGCCGTATCTTCGTCATTTGATGAGAAACCAGAACCTTAAAGAATATCACGATTTTAGTTCGCTTCCAACACTTAATTACAATTAAAAAAAAACAAATACCCGTATACTGCTGCGTGTAACTTTTATTTTCATAGTGTGATGATGATTTCATTGAAGCAGTAGCCATGATAATTAATTGTTAAAGCAAAATTAAACGTGAAGAAGAAAAAGCGAAAGAAAAAGGTTTATTTATCAAAAGAAAAAAAAATATATTTTTCTTTAACAATTGTAAGAAAATAAGCGAAGAAAAAAGGTGTATTTATCAAAAAAAAAAAATTTTTTCGCGTAACGCATTTCAGCATTTCGACGTCGCTATTCTTCCCAAAATGTAAATCGAGACATTTTTTTTTCCCTTAATATAGATAACGAAATCATTTTTTATAATACTATTTAGTGCTTTTAACATCTGAACGAGAACTATTTTTTTATTCTTGTACTAAAAATAAAATTATTATGACATTGTCGTGCATGAAAGAGTCTTTGTTTTTTTCTATCAATCTGATAAAAATTTGCATTAAAGATTATCATTATAGAAAAAATAATGCCGATAAATGACAAGAATTGTCCTCTGTCCTGTTTTTTCAGAGACAAAATTAGCTAAATAACCGAGATATAGGTTTCAGTCATAAAATCTAATTATTCCTGAATTATTGGATTAAGACCAATATTTACCACTCTTCGCCTTTTCGGCGCTTAATCAACCGACAAAAATTTCGCGATCACGTGACAAAATTTGTCGATCATTTCCAAAAATGGTAAGCAGATTTAACGAAAAAATTATTATTATTATTTTTTTTTTGAATAAAACTTACTACAGACATTTTCTAATTTTAAAATTAATACACTATATCTAAATTTGCTTGCTCTGCAAGTTTACTTAGGCAATAAAGGTAGGTTTTGAATACAGATTTTTGTAAAATTAATTATTTACATAAAAAGTCAAAATTTATATTTAAAATGTATTTTTCTCATCTAGGTAAATTTGTAGAGCGTTCAAAAATACACATACCATGTAAGTTTAAAAAATGTGTGGTATTTATATTGTGTTTTATTCTTATTTTTTATTTTTTTGTTAAATCTACTTGCCATTTTTGGAAATGATCAACAAAATCAGTTATGTGATCGCAAAATTTTTGTCAGTGCCACTGGGGTAGTTCCTTTAATCAATGCTGTTGCGCCACAAAATTTGGGAGTTAAGACCACAAAGACCAAAATCTGAGTGATCATTTATTTATTGTTATGTGTTTTGACAATAATAAACACAAATAAGGGTGAGAAAATGATCTTTCATTACACAATTTAAAGTTCCTTTGTAACTTACTTTTTTGTATATTAATTTGTAAATCTTTTTAAGTTACACAATTAGTACATTTTTTCTTATTAGTTTAAGTTTAAGAAAGGTGAAAATATTACATTAAATGAATTAAGAAACAGTAAATCAAATGAAAAAAAAATTATTGTTCACTGAAATCTTTATTGACACAATTAGTGTGATGTTCTGGAATACAATCTAATTTTCCGTTCTGAATTACTTTTTGTAAATGCATTTGCAACAACAAACTATTTTTATTCAAGAAATTTCTGTCAAAATAAAAATTATTTTGCAAAGCGGAAATTAAAATAAAGGTGAGAAAATATTACATTAAATGAATCAAGAAATGGTAAAATCAAATTAAAAAAGAATATATCAGTTGTCGTGATCTTTAATTACGCAAGTAGTGCATCATTCTTTAGAATTTGATTTTATCAATCTGAAATTAAGTTTAAAGAAGAGGTTGAGAAAGTATAATGAATCAAAAAAAGTAAGTTTAAGAAAGTAAATAAATCAAGAAATGGTAAAATCAAATGAAAAAAAATATTATTGTTCGTTGAAAACTATGTAAGTCTTTTATTGACACAGTTTGTTTTGTATGACATTCTGGAGTATAAGTTAATTTCTGTTTGTAAACCTTCTCAATATGGTTTGATAACAAAATTCTTTGTTTTTAAATCATGAAAAAATGATGAAAGTAAGTTTGATGATTTTTTCTTATTAAAGTTATATTTACTTATAAATAATTTGATTCAATATATTTTAGTTGTAAAATATAAATACAAAAAAAATTTTTGTTTTTAAAAGAATTTTACCAGATTTATGATGTTAGACAAAAATATTCGTGTGGTCGTTACTATAGGATTTTTTTTTGTTTTTTTTTTTTGTTTATTATTAATTTTTGTAATAACAATGATATTTATTTTGGATTTTTTTTTTAAAAAAAATTTTAATAGATTTTGGGACAACTTATTCTGTAAATTATTAATGTTATTTACAAAATTTAAAGTGTTTAAATAAATGGTAATTTTTTATTAATATATAAACAGTGAAATTCAATAATCCGGATCTATCAGTTTCACTAAAAATATTCAGTTTATCAGGATATCCGGTATAGCAAATATATTAAAAATCTATTATACTAAATTTTTTTAAAAAATTCATGCTAATAAAATTAATATACATTATATTTTAATTTTTTATCTTAGTTTTAAGTTATAGAAATCATGAAAATGAATATAAAATATTTTAATTGAATATATAAGTAATATATAACTTTGGCTGGAATTAAGATTTTTATAATTCTGGCCAAAATTAAGATTTACCGCATCACGTTACTTAAATTTTATTGGTTAATGATCACGTGATCCAGTTTATTAAACCATTTTTACTATAGCTGGTTAAAAAATTGATCTATTTTATCAAATATCAAACTTTTACTAATAAACTCCAGTATATCAAAACTATTTTAATATACATGATTTGGTTCCAGCAAAAAAGTCTGGTTTAAGTCCAAATCTGGTTTATTAAAGATCCGGTTTATCGAATTTCACTGTGTATATATATAGGGATTTGCTTATACTCATAAATCAAATCCAAGTGAAATAACGGCACATAATGAGAACCCCAGAAAATGCTTATATATGTAAGGTACCAAGGTACTTAGCCAATATAGAAAAATTTTATGATGTAAGAATTTTATAATGCTTAATTTTGAGAAAATTTTATACTATATAAGATAATTAAATTGCATATTTTTAGTATTATTTTAAAATATTAAGAGTTTTTAGTTGTTTATTTTTCATATTTATAGAACTTTTTAAAATATTATATATTAAATTTATAATTAATTTTTATTTTATTTTCACTAACGGTAAGTGTTAATTTTGTACAATTTTATATAAATACATAAACAAAAAATTTTTTTTTTCAATGTTTTATTAATTATCTTTCAATAGTATCTTTTTAATTTTATAAATTCAGTGTATTATTTTTAAGTTAAATAAAATTACTGTAAATATGTTTTACTTTAAAATATAATTTCACTACTTACCATTTTGGTTATATCAAATTATCTATTATGCTTAAGTAAGGTTGTTCAGCAAGTTAAATCTACTTGTATTTTAATTTTCATAAGGCTAAATATGATATTTATATAGAAAAGCATATTTTTTATAACAATAATAACTTTTAAATTTTCACTTTTTCGTTTACAACTTCAGAGCATAATTATACCACTTCGGTCAAATAAAATCGACTTTCTAAATTAATTGAAAGTTGTTTAGCAAGGTCAAAACTACTTATCTATTAATTTTCATAAATGCGAGTATAACAATCAGTACGCATGTAACACCCTAATTTTTATTATTATAATCGATATAATAAAAATTGTGGCATAGCTTACTTATTGAATATATAGTATATATATATATATTAAAATCGGTTAAATTAATTTTAATTGGTTAAAATTGATGATTTTTAAATTGTAATTCCGGCCAAAATTTTCTTAATTCTGGCTGAATCCCTAATTCTGGCCTAAATTTAATTAAATTTAGAAAAATACATGTCAAATGTAACATTATATTTAAAAAGCAAAATAAACTTATTGATCATTTCTACAAATTTATTAAAAAAAATTCATTACTCAAACTGAGTTTTCATGTTGGATCTTCATTTGAAATTAATGTTTTTTTTATATTACAAATAAAAAAAAATAAAGTTTCAAAAATCTATACCATTATGTAAAACATCAATAGCTTCACGAATATTAAACGAAAATTAACAAAATTCAATATACAATTAGTTTCGACCTCACTAAACAATTCTCACTTAATACACAAAGGCGATTCTCTTATAACCAAAGTACCTAAATTACGCTCTAAATGTATTAAATGAATAGATAAAATATGAACGTTAATATTTCCATATGTACTAATTAAAAACTTATGAAAATTGAAATACATATGGAATCGACCTCAATGAACAATTATCACTTAATATATGAAGGTGATTATCTTATGATCAAAGTGTCTAAATTACGTTCTGAAGTAACTAATTGTTTGCAAAAAATTGAAATTAATTGTGTTATGAATAACATCAGTAGCTTCATAAATATTGGCTAACATTTCGTATAAATTGAAATTCAAATAGTTTCGACCTCGCTGAACAATATTCACTTAATAAACAAAGGCGATTTACTTATGAACAAAGTGCCTAAATACGCTCTGAAATTACTAAACAGAAAAAATAACAAATTTAAAGTTAGCATTGTTATAAAAATACACACAAACTATTAAATGAAATTTAATGAAAATTGAGTTGCAAGTAGTTTTAATATAGCTGAACAATTTTTACTAAATATATAAAGGTGATATGTTTATGTCAAAATTGCTAAAACTACTACTTTAAAAAAATTTATGTACTTAAGAAATAATATAAAATTTTGATTTTTTAAAGTTTATGCAAAATCTGTCTGAATAACCAATATTTAAAGCTTAGAAAAACATTCTTTTCTCGCAAAATTACATATATTTCTGTTGTTAAAACTACATTTTTCTTCTTACCTTTAAAGGGATCTTAAAAAAAGTGTGTTTTTTAAAATAAACTTCATGTATATGTAAGAAAAAAAAAATTATTAGTAAAATGAAAAACTAATTTAAGAAACTGATAGAGCACATGATAATCTGTTAAATTACTTTATTTGGTATGATGTTGTATATTTTAATTGATGATTAATTGTTAAATGATGTAATTCAATTATAGTTACACACAATTTTATTATTATAAAATTGATCTACATGTTACATGTGCGGTGA